CTGGGTGACAGAGTGAGACTCTGTCTCAAAAACAAACAAACAAACAACAACAATAAAAACACCAACGCCAAAGCCAAAAAAAAATCCTACAATCCACCAGGATGGTCCCCACCCAGAGAACCATCCAGCCCAAACCACCAGCAGTGCTGAGGCTGGGACCCTGCCCTAGACCTTGGGAGTGGGGAATGGGCACTCCAGGCAGCTGGCAGTGCTCCGGCAAAGGCCTTGAGGCAAAAAGGGGGATGGCACGAGGAAAGGCGGAGGCGGCGAGCAAGGGGGAGTGGGGGTGAGAGGGCCCGGGGCGCCTGGGGCAGGGGAGGTATTTGGGGACCCTCTCTCTGAGAGAGGTGGAGGCCTATTTTTTTTTTTTTTTTAAACAGTCTTACTCTGTCGCCCAGGCAGGAGTGCAGAGGCTCAATCTCAGCTCACTGCAACCTCCACCTCCTAGGTTCAAACTATTCTCCTGCCTCGGCCTCCTGTGTAGCTGGGACCATAGCACGTGCCACCACCCCCAGCTCATCGTTTTTGTATTTTTATTAGAGATGAGGTTTCACCATGTGGGCCAGGCTGGTCTCCAACTGAGCTCAAGTGATCCACCCGCCTTGGCCTCCCAAAGTGCTGGGATTACTGGCATGAGCCACTGTGACTAGCGAGAGGGCTTTTTTTTTTTTTTTTTTAAAGAATAAAGAAGAGGAAGAAAGAGAAAGAGGAAGAAGGAGAGAGGATGGGGGTATTGCTTTATTGCCCGGGCTAGAATGCAGTCTAAATATGGGTATGCCTATAATTGTCCTTAATAATGGAGACATGAAAGAAAATGAGGGAAGAGAATAGCAAACAAGGAGCCAACCAAGATTTCTTTTAAACTTCTAAGTTGATATGATGTGGTACTGATAAGAGTGTATATTTTGTATATTTAAAGTGCAGAGTTCTATAAATGTTAATTACATTTACTTGTTCCAGATCTGAGTTCAAGTCCTGAATATCGTTGTTAATTTTCTGTCTCATTGATCTGTCTAATATTAATGTTGAAGTCTCCCACTATTATTATGTGGGAGTCTAAGTCTCTTTATAAGTCTTGTATGTCTGCGTATTCCTGTATTGGGTGCGTATATATTTAGGATCTTTAGCTCTTCTTGTTGTTGCATTGATCCTTTTATCATTATATAATGTCCTTCTTTGCTTCTTTTGATCTTTGTTGCTTAATTGTAACTTCTGCTTTTTATTTATTTATTTTAGCTCTCTGTTTGGTTGGTAAATCTTTCTCCATCCCTTGTTTGGAGTCTTTGTGTATCCTCGAATGTGAGATGGATCTGGATGCAGCATACTGATGGGTTTTAGTTTTTTATTCAAATTGCCTGTCTTTGGATTGGGGGATTTAGTCAATTTAAATTTAGAATTAATAATAATATATGTGAGTTTAATACTGCCATTAGCTGGCTATTTTGTCCATTAGTTGATGTAAATTCTTCATTATATTGATGCTCTTTTTGATAATTTTTTTTAGAAAGGCTGATACTGTTTGTTCCTTTCATATGTGTAGTGGTTCTTTCAGAAGCTCTTGTAAAGCAGGCCTGGTGGTGATGAAATCTCTGAGTGCTTGCTTATTCACAAAAAACTTTATTTTTCCTTCACATGTGAAGCTTAGTTTGGCTGGATGTGAAATTCTGGGTTGAAAGTTCTTTTCTTTAAGGATGTTGAATATTGGCCCCCACTCTCTTCTGGCTTGTAGGGTTTCTGCTGAGAGATCTGCTGTAAGTCTGATAGGCTTCCCTTTGTGGGTAACCTGACCTTTCTCTCTGGCTGCCCTTAGTATTTTCTCCTTCATTTCAACCCTGGTGAATCTGACGATTATGTGCCTTGGAGTTGCTCTTCTTGAGGAATATCTCTGTGGTGTTGTCTGTATTACCTGGAGTTGAATATTATCCTGCCTTACTAGGCTGGGAAAATTTTCCTGAATAATGTCCTGAAACGTATTTTCCAGCTTGGATTCATTCTCTTCGTCACATTCAGGTACACCTATCAAGCGTAGATTAGGTCTTTTCACATAGTCCCATATTTCTTGGAGACCTTGCTCGTTCCTTTTTATCCTATTTTCTCTAATCTTGTCTTCTTGTTTTATTTCATTGAGTTGGTCTTCGACCTCTGATATCCTTTCTTCTGCTTGATCAATTCGGCTGTTAAAACTTGTGCATACTTCACGAAGTTCTCCTATTGTGTTTTTCAGCTCCATCAATTCACTTATATTCCTCTCTAAATTGTGTATTCTTGTTAACATTTCGTCAAATCTTTTTTCAAAGTTCTTAGTTGCTTTAGATTGGGTTAAAACAAGTTCTTTTAATTCACAAAAGTTTCTCATTATCCACATTTTGAAGCCTGCTTCTGTAATTGGAACACACTCGTTCTCCATCAAGCCTTGTTCGGTTGCTGATGAGGAACCGTGATCCCCCGCTGAGGGAGAGGCGTTCTGATCTTGGGCATTCTCAGCCTTTTTTGGCCGTTTTCCTCCCTTCGTTATAAATTTATCCATCTGTGGTCTTTGAATTCACCGTCTTTGTAATTAGGTTTCTGAGTGGACGTCCAACTTACTGATTCTCAGTGCCGAAATCTGAGCAACCCACTGCACCGACCAAATCAGCGGCGTTAAGATTAATGGTGCTTTTCCGACTCTGCACCAAGAACCGTCGCTCCAAGGCGCCGGCAAAACCGCCTCGCCGGTCACAAGAGTCGCGCTGGCGACCCGTGGGGCTCCTCCGCTGGGAATCTCCTGGTGCGTGAGCAACAAGAATTCATGTGAAGGTGTGGCGTCCTCTCGTTCTTTGCGCTTTCAGTGGGAGCTACAATCCCGAGCTGTTAGTGATCAGCCATCTTGGATCTCTCTCCCTCTTTTTTTTTTTTTTTTTTTTTTTTTTTTTTTTTTTAAGGTGGAGTTTCGCTCTTGTTACCCAGGCTGAAGTACAATGGCACGATCTCGGCTCAACCCAACCTCCGCTTCCTGGGTTCAAGCAATTCTCCTGCCTCAGCCTCCCAAGTGGCTGGGACTACAGGCATGTGCCACCATGCCCAGCTAATTTTTTTGTATTTTTATTAGAGACGGGGTTTCACCATGTTGACCAGGATGGTCTCGATCTCTCGACCTCGTGATCCACCTGCCTCGGCCTCCCAAAGTGCTGGGATTACAGGCGTGAGCCACCGCGTCCGGCTGGCCTTTTTTTTTTTTTTTTTTTTTTTAATCTCACTGACCATCTGGGCCAGGGACTGTGGGACTGGGAACAGTGCAGGAGTCTGGGACAAGGGGATCCTGGTCCCATGACTGCAAACAGGAAGTTGCAGTTGCAGAAACAACAGCTCGGCTTCTGAGAGAACTTGGAGGAAGGAAGATAGCAGAGAGGGAAGTGACTATGGGACCTTCGAGGACCAACAAGGTAGGTGAAGGGTCTGTTGGGACTGCAGCCCTCAGCTGTGGAGAAGCAGAGAGACTCTCTGGGGGAGGGGTTCCCAGAGCTGGTTACTGCAGAATGAGTGAGAGTTTGGGGAATGGGGCCGGGTGCGATGGCTCATGTCTGTAATCCTAGCACTTTGGGAGGCCAAGGCGGGTAGGTCAGGAGTTGGAGACCAGCCTGGCCAACATGATGAAACCCCGTCTCCACTAAAAATACAAAAATTAGCCAGGTGTGGTGGTGCATGCCTGTAATCCCGGCTACTCGGAAGGCTGGGGCACGATAATAATCACTGGAACCGAGGAAGCGAAGGTTGCAGTCAGTCGAGATTTTGCCACTCTATGGCAGCCTGGGCGACAGAGAAAAATGCTTTTTTTTTTTTTTTCTTTCCTTTTTTCAAAAATAGAGATGAGGTTTCACCATGTGGGCCAGGCTGGCCTTGAACTCCTAACCTTGTGATCCACCGATCTCGGACTCCCAAAGTGCTGGGATTACAGGCGTGAGCCCAGCCGAAAAATTCTGTTTTTTTAAAAAAAATGGGTGGCTCATGCCTGTAATCCCAGCACTTTGAGAGGCCAAGGCAGGCATATCATCTAAGGTTAAGACTTCCAGACCAGCCTGACCGATATGGAGAAACCTATCTCTCCTAAAAATGCAAAATTAGCCGGGTGTGGTGGTGCATGCCTGTGGTCCCAGCTACTCGAGAGGCTGAGGCAGAATTGCCTCAACCCAGGAGGCAGAGGTTGCAATGAGCCGAGATCACACTATTGCACTCCAGCCTGGGCAACAAGAGTGAAACCCTATCTCAAAAAGAAAAAAAAAAAAAAAAAAGGCCAGGCACAGTGGCTCATGGTTGTAATCCCAGCACTTTGGGAGGCTGAGGCAGGTGGATCACATGAGGTCGGGAGTTCGAGACCAGTCGGACCAACATGGAGAAACCCTGTCTCTACTAAAAATACAAAAAAATTCGCTGGGCATGGTGGCGCATGCCTGTAATCCTAGCTACTCAGGAGGCTGAGGCAGGAGAATCACTTGAACCTGGGAGGCAGAGGTTGTGGTAAGCCTAGACCGCGCCATTGCATTCCAACCTGGGTAACAGGAGTGAAACTCTGTCTCAAAAAAGAAAAAGAGAGAGTTTGGTGGATGAAGGAAGGGGAAATTTCCTGACGAAGGTATGGCCTGTGTGTGCGTACAGATCCCGGTTTAAATCCCAGCCCAGCATTTTCTGCAGGCGGGAGGGAAGCAGGACAAGGTTTCTCTCAGATACAGCCTCAGTTTCCTCCCTGGAACCCCAGGCATCAGGAGGCTGCAGGGAGGAAATGAGAATATAACACCGGGAAAAGGATGAGTCCTGATGAGGGTAGGTAGTCCATCCTTATGTGGATCTCAGCAGAGAAGAGGCCTGGGAGGGACTGGGGTGGTGCCTGCCCGAACTCCGTGGGCTCCTGAAAACGCCCTGGGGCAGGGAAGGCGAGGTGTTGTCGTCAACGGGGATCCACCCTCACCTGCAGGGGAGGCCCCAGACGCTTGGGGACTAACACAATGACACTCCAGGAACTCGAGTAAGGTGTGCTACCCCCAAAGGAAGCGTTTATTTTTGGAGCTCCAAGACTCCAGAAAAAAGCACCTCCCCCTCAAAAAACGCCCCTACCGCACCCCATGCCCAAACTCAGGGCAGGAGACAAGACGGAATCATTTCCTGCCCGGCTCTGCGGGGAGGCAGCTCTGTGTCCCCACACCCAGGACTGCTCCATGGCCCCTCCAGACCTGCTGCCCCATGACGCTCCCAGAACCGATGAGATCACGGGATTGTCCCAGCGAAAAGCTGAGCAGGAACCGGCCCTTCCAAGCTGTGCCTAAAGGACCAGAAGGGGCACTAAGGGCCGACCCGAGGAAGCAGACCCTGGCCCCGCCCCCATCGATAGACCCGCCCCATCTATTTACATGCCCTTCCCCTCCGCCCATAGACCAGCCCCCCTAACCATTTATGTGCCCCTCCCTCCATCGATAGACACGCCTCCACTGATGGCCCCGCCCATACAGCTGTAGGCCCCGCCCATACAGCTGTAGGCCCCTCCCATACAGCGGTAAGCCCCGCCCCGTTCCGGGGCGCCCTTCTCTTCTCACTGGATTCGCCTTCCCTCCCCAAGACCCCTCTCCTCTGCGCCCAGTCCCCTCCCCTGCAGCTCCTCTCTCTAGACCTCGAAGTCCCTGCTTTCCTGCTCCCCTTCCCCAGCTTTCTTCTCCCTCCCGGGGCCGCCCCCTTCTCACTGACCGGCTTCCCGGGATCTCAGAGGAGCCGAGCGCCGAGGCCCAGCAGCGGAATCAGGAGCAGGAGCTTCGCCGCCGAGCTGGTGTCCTTCAGGGAGCTGGCGGAGTCCTTCTGGTCCGCGATTTTCGCGCTTAAGTCCTGGTTTTTCCTCCTGCGGTATAGACAGGGGCAAATCAGGCATCTGCCCGACCGGGCTCCTGCCGCCCTCCCTGTGAGTCCATCGCCCCCCGGAGTTCCCCCCGCCGCACCGCTCCAATCCAAGTCCCTGGGGAGGGAATGGACGGCGGCCACCCAGGGCTCTGTGACCCTAGGGGCTAAGTTGTCCTTTTGTGGGACTCAAACCTTACCCCTTAGGGCAATGGGGATTTGGGGAGCCAAGGAGACGCTCGGTCTTGGGGTAGGAACGCGGGGGTGAGAGGGGTGTGGCGGGTGGAGGGTAGCAGAGGGAAAGGTTATCTCTGACCTCAGTCGCTCCACCTCCATAGAGGCATCCTGAAGCTTCTGGTTCAATGTAGTGATCTCTCCTGGTGGGGTGGGAGAACAGAATCAGGGGCACGTGGCCAGGCTCTGGCCCTGCCCCACTCTGGGACAGGACCTCCCCCTTACCCCAACCTCCAACCCTGGTCTCCCTGCTCCCACCCTCTCTTCCATTCCTGACTTACCCCTCCCCAGCCCCTTCCCTTCCCTCTTCCTTACCCTCAAGCTCCTCCACTTTCTTCTCCACATCCAGGCTATGCGCCTTCTCCTTATCCAGGGAAGCCATTAGGGTCATCTAGGACAGAGGGAAGGGTCAGAATCCGGGGTTCTGGCCCTGGACTGTTGCCCCTGGGACCTGCACCTCCTCCCTAGGTTCCGGGGCTTAAGTGCAAACCCTTTTCGGGTTTTCTTCCAACCCTCTTCTGCACCGTGATCTTTAAACTTGAAGAACACCCACAACCACACACTCACCCAGGGCCACCCATAAGCATGTGAGCCCCCCGCCCCCCGACATAGCAATTTGGAGGCCCTGGATAACCAAACTTTAGTAGACATTTCCAGATGGCCCAAGAAAAGTTAGAGGGCCCTACCAAATCCAGAACGCAGTGGGACTTTCCAGCCCAAGTGACATGCCCGGTGACAGTTTCAAGAGCCCCCATATCGGGACCGGGGTGAATATATTTGTTTCTCGGGGATGAAGTGGACATTTCAAGAACCTCCTTTTTCAGAGTCTGGCGAGGTCCCCATTCAACCCTGAACAGGGATTCCTACTCCCCCAGGACTGGTGTGCACGAGGAGTTTCAAGCCCCCCCATACCAGTGCCCTGGAAAGAATTTATAAATTCACCTAAGTCCCAGTGGAGATCCTTGATTTGGGGGCTCTGGGGACTTTTAACGCCTTGCCCCTACACTAGTGCCCCGGACTGGGTCAGAGGGCCCCAAACCCTGGTAGGTAAACCTAGGTCTCTTGACATGGGGACCCAGGAACAGTTTCAAGACCTCCCCTGCATCTCCCTGGAGACCCACCCTGTGTCAGATTTCTGGGGAGAGTTTCTCGGCCCCCAGCACGAGGCCATCCAAAAGAATTGAGATGCTGCCGGGCGCGGTGGCTCAAGCCTGTAATCCCAGCACTTTGGGAGGCCGAGGCGGGTGGATCACGAGGTCAAGAGATTGAGACCATCCTGGTCAACATGGTGAAACCCCGTCTCTACTAAAAATACAAAAAAAATTAGCTGGGCATGGTGGCGCGTGCCTGTGATCCCAGCTACTCAGGGGGCTGAGGCAGGAGAATTGCCTGAACCCAGGAGGCGGAGGTTGCAGTGAGCCGAGATCGCGCCATTGCACTCCAGCCTGGGTAACAAGAGCGAAACTCCGTCTCAAAAAAAAAAAAAAAAAAAGAGAAAAAGAATTGAGATGCTTACCACAGTCTGGTTGTAGGTGGCGACCTGGGCCTCAGCATCCCGGAAGCCGTCCTGGGCCAGGGTCAGCTTTTGTTCCAGGAGATGGGTGGCATTTCGACACTCCATCACTGCCCGGTGGCCCTCCTGGCAGTCCTCGCTGTTGGCCCTTTTGACGTAGATGATCAGGAGCGTCCCCAGAGCCATAACCACTATGACCAGGAGCACCACAACTCCTATCCCCACTAGAAGCTTATAGCGCTCCTTCCTCTCATGCTTCAGAAAGTCATCTATGGGCACTAGGGGATAGTGAAACAAAGTGGGTGCCATCGTGATCTCCCCACTAGCTGAAGGGAGTCTGGCCTGGAGTTAGAGGAGGGTCCTGGAATCTTCTGCGCGCCTCCCGGTTATTAGCATAGAAGCCCTCCTGACCAATAGCAAGTTTCAGGAAGTTCTCTTAGCGGCAGCTCGGCGTGGGCCACCTACAGGCAGAAGATTCTTAGGCTGTTAGTTTCAGTTTCCCAGAAGGGAGATGGGCTTTTTGCCATCCTACTTTAAAAGGCCTTGGGCCCTTCCCAACTGGGTGCCAGCCAGACCTCCTGTAGTAGGGAAGCTGTGGCTGCCTGGGACACTCCATCTCAAGTCCCCGCACCTCTCCTGTGAGTTACTGGGTGCCTAGGCCATGCCAGCTTGCATTCATCTGTACCATGCCCTGAAGAGGCAGAGGCCATGATCGCTGGTCCAGTTCCCACCTGGGGAAACTGAGGCTGCACAGTTGAGTGGTGGAGTGGGGGCAGGGCCTGGGCCTGACCCTAGAGACTAGGTTTTGTGTTCAGGTGTCTCCGTGGTGATGAGCAGGGCTTCATTCTGTGCTCCTGTCCCCACCGAGGGGACTGTGGGAGCCATGGAGGGTGTGTGAGTGGGAGGTGAGACTGGAGCCAGCCGGAAAGCTGGGAGACCCCATAGGCATACATGGCCCAGGCTGCCGTTCTGCATCTGGCCACCAGGGGACGCCCCAGCCAACAAACGATACTGGTTTCTGTCCTGGCACCGGCAGGAAACGGGCTCCTACTTCCAGAAAAAGTGCTCCTGGGACTCCAGGATGCCAGGTAAACTCTCTGAGCCTGCTTCTTCATCTGTAAAGGAACAATAACAGGGCCAGCCTCTCCAGGACGGGCAAGGGAGGAGGTGCCAGTGAAGTGCTTTGGTATCCAGTAGGTGCTCAATGGACGCACACACCACCTGCCAGGTCTGTGGCTCAGGACAGATGGATGGGAAGATAATAGTGAGGATCTTCTTTCTTTCTTTCTTTCTTTCTTTCTTTCTTTCTTTCTTTCTTTCTTTCTTTCTTTCTTTCTTTCTTTCTTTCTTTCTTTCTTTCTTTCTTTCTTTCTTTCTTTCTTCTTTCTTTCTTTCTTTCTTTCTTTCTTTCTTTCTTTCTTTCTTTCTTTCTTTCTTTCTTTCTTTCTTTCTTTCTTTCTTTCTTTCTTTCTTTCTTTCTTTCTTTCTTTCTTTCTTTCTTTCTTTCTTTCTTTCTTTCTTTCTTTCTTTCTTTCTTTCTTTCTTTCTTTCTTTCTTTCTTTCTTTCTTTCTTTCTTTCTTTCTTTCTTTCTTTCTTTCTTTTCTTTCTTTCTTTCTTTCTTTCTTTCTTTTCTTTCTTTCTTTCTTTCTTTCTTTCTTTCTTTCTTTCTTTCTTTCTTTCTTTCTTTCTTTCTTTCTTTCTTTCTTTCTTTCTTGAGACGGAGTTTCACTCTTGTTACCCAGGCTGGAGTGCAATGGCGCGATCTCCTGGGTTCAGGCAATTCTCCTGCCTCAGCCTCCCGAATAACTGGGACTACAGGTGCACGCCGCCACACCAGGTTAATTTCTTCTGTTTTTTTTAGTAGAGACGGGGTTTCACCATGTTGGCCAGGCTGGTCTCGAACTCCTGAGTTCAGGCAATCTGCCTGCCTCGGCCTCCCAAAATGCTGGGATTACAGGCATGAGCCAGCATGCTCCGCCTAACAAGGATTTTTCTTTGAGCAAAGATAGTTGGCTCCATTTGGGATGTGCTAAACCCAACAGGCCCGGGAGACATCCGGGGAAGAAACCTGGGATGGGGCGGGTGCTGTGGGGGTCGGACACTGGGGTGGGGAGCGCACTCAGGCTGCACTGAGCTGCTGTCCATGTGGCTAAGACAGCCAGGGCTTCCTGGAGGAAATCAGCACCATTATCGGTGCCCAACTGTTGGGCATGACCACAGGAAGGGGGCTGCATATTTTTCTTGTAGCTTCTTCTGCCACAGCCTGACCACAGCCCAGATTCTGTTGGGTCTGCCATTTCCGTGTGTGTGTGTGTGTGTGTGCGTGTGTGTGTGTGTTTGTGTGTGTGACAGTTTTTTGCTCTTGTTGCCCAGGCTGGAGTGCGATGGCACGATCTCAGCTTACCATAACCTCTGCCTCCCGGATTGAAGCCATTCTCCTGCCTCAGCCTCCTGAAAGCTGGGAATACAGGCGCCCACCACCTCATCCGGCTAATTTTTGTATTTTTAGTAGAGATGGGGTTTTACCATGTTGGGCATACTGGTCCCGAATTCCTGACCTCGTGATCCACCGGCCTCAGCCTCCCAATGTGCTGGGATTACAGGCATGCACCACCATACCTGGCTAATTTTTGTATTTTTAGTGATTTGTATTTTTAGCAGGTTTCTCTTTGTTGGTCAGTCTAGTCTCGAACTCCTGACCTCGTGATCTGGCTGCCTCGGCTGTCAAAGTGCTGGGAATACAGGCGTGAGCCACCGCCCGGCAATTTTTGTATTTTTAGTAGAGACAGGGTTTCTCCAGTTGGCCAGGCTGGTCTTCAGCTCCTGACCTTGTGATTCACCTGCCTTGGCCTCCCAAAGTGCTGGGATTACAGGTGTGAGTCACCACACCCCACCCATTTCCAGGTTTTTAGTTTTCAGCAGGGCCAGATGGCAGGCAAGGTCAAAGCCAGAGCCCAGGTCTCCCAGAAGGCCTGGGGAACTCCCCCCAGACCCTTACTCCAGTATCCCTCTTCCTAAAAGGACCCCATTAAAGCCATTTACAGCCAGGCATGGTGGTGTACATACCTGTGGTCCCGGCTACTCAGGAGGCTGAGGCAGGAGGATTGCTTGAACCCAGGAGTTTGAGGCTGCAGTGAGCTGGAATTGTGCCACTACACTCCAGCCAGGGTGACAGAGTGGAAACCCATCTCTTAAACAAACAAACAAACAAACAAATCACTTAGAACCAAGAACCAATTAACAAGTGGTGGGAGAAGATCTTGCTGAGAAGTCCAAGGGTGAACTTGTCCCATGAGGAGGGACCTATCAGCGTTGCCAGGACTCCAGGTTCACAGACACGACCTTTGCCTGACTTACTTGACTAAGCTGATTTATTTGAGCGGGCACTGTTCAGGCCTGGAAACTTTAGAGTCAGTTTGGGACCAGGTCAGAAGTCACGATTTCATGAACTGCGGGTTGGAGGCCTGGGTGGTGCACCCCTAAGTAAATGACTTTTCTCTCTTAGCATTGATTTCCCCAGCTGTAAAATGTGGATAATAATAGATTGGCTTTGGGAGGCCGAGGCGGGCAGATCACGAGGTCAGGAGTTCGAGACCAGCCTGACCAACATGGTGAAACCCTGTCTCTACCAAAATATCAAAAAACAAAACAAAAAAGTCAGCTGGGCGTGGTGGCATGCACCTGTAGTCCCAGCTACTTGGGAGGCTGAGGCAGAAGAATCGCCTGAACCCAGGAGGCGGAGTTTGCAGTGAGCGGAGATCACGCCACTGCACTTCAGCCTGGGCAACAGAGTGAGACTCTGATTCAAAAAAAAAAATTAATGATAATAACAATAATAGATTGGTGTCCTCCCTAAATTTTGTACTTGCAAACAGTCCCAGCCCTCCAAACTGAAAGTCTGTTGCTCTTTCCTTTAAAATTATAAATGGTGGGCCAGGTGCAGTGGCTTACGCCTGTAATCCCAGTACTTCGGGAGGCAGAGATAGGAGGATTGCTTGAGGCCAGGAGTTTGGGACCAGCCTGGCCAACATAACGAGACCCTATCTCTATTTAGAAAAATACATATATATATGTAGTATATAATTATATATTTATTTTATTTAATTAATTTATTATTTTGAGAGATAGTCTTGCTCTTGTTGCCCAGGCTGGAGTGCAATGGCGCAATCTAGGCTCACTGCAACCTCCACCTCCCAGGTTCAAGCAATTCTCCTGCCTCAGCCTCCTGAATAGCTGGGATTACAGGCGCCCCCCACCATGCCCAGCTAATTTTTTGTACTTTTAGTAGAGATGGGGTTTTGCCATGTCGGCCAGATCCACCCGCCTCGGCCTCCCAAAGTGCTAGGATTACAGATGTGACCCATGGCATCCAGCCTATATTTTATTTTACATTTTAAAATATATATACATATGTAGTTATATATTAGGTTGGTGCAAAAGTAATTGCGGGTTCTGCCATCGCTTTTTTTCTTTCGAGATTGAGTCTCCTTCTGTCGCCCAGGCTGGAGTGCATGCAGTGGTGTGATCTCGGCTCAGTGCAACCTCTGCCTCCTGGGTTCAAGCAATTCTCCTGCCTCAGCCTCCCGAGTAGCTGGGACTACAGATGCCGGCCACCATGCCCGGCTACTTTCTGTATTTCTAGTAGAGACTTTAGGTTTCGCCACGTTGGCCAGGCTGGTCTCAAACTCCTGACCTCAAGTGATCCATCCGACTTGGCCTCCCAGTGTTGGGATTACAGGTATGAGTCACCCCGCCCAGCCTCTGCCATTACTTTTTTTTTTTTATTTGGAGTCTCGCTCTGTCGCCCAGGCTGGAGTGCAGTGGTATGATCTCGGCTCCCTGCTGCAACCTCCACCTCCTGGGTTCAAGCAATTCTCCTGCCTCAGCCTGCTGAGTAGCTGGGATTACAGGCACCCAACACCATGGCTGGCTAATTTTTGTATTTTTAGTAGAGACGGGGTTTCACCATGTTAACCAGGCTGGTCTCGAACACCTGACCTTGTGATCTGCCCACCTTGGTCTCCCAAAGTGCTGGGATTACAGGTGTGAGCCACCACGCCTGGCCTGCCATTATTTGTAATGGTATCAATTACATTAATTAAAAGTAATGGCAGAAACCACAATTACTTTTACAATAAAATTACAAATGGAAACTGTCAGGCTGCCATTCTTTTTATCCTTTCTTTCCTTTTGAGACAGTCTTGTCCTGCCACCCAGGCTGGAGTACAGTGGTGCAGTCATAGCTCACTGCAGCCTTGACCGCCTGGGCTCAAGCGATCCTCTCACCTCAGCCTCCTGCGTAGCTGGGACTACAGGTGTGCACCACCATGCCTGGCTAATTTCTATTTTTTGTACAGATGGGGTCTTACTATGTTTCCCAGGCTGGTCTCAATCTCCTGGGCTCCAAAGATCCTCCTGGCTCAGCCCCTAACATGTTGGAATTACAGGAGTGTGCC